TGACCTGACCTCTCCCCTCGCTGTGATCTTCTGCTGTCCGCCCAAGTGCCTGCCTGACCCCTGGGGGCATTTTAACTCCTGACCCAAGACTGTGGTTGGTGAGCAGGACAGGAAGGTATGAGAACAATGTGAGGAATGGAGAAACGATGATAACCTGGGGCAGGAATCTGGAAGGGGGCCTGGCTGACCACTGGTTCTTTCTCTCACATCTGCCGGTTTTCCAAGAGTGTGTGGATCAGGGAGGTGAAAGCTGAAGATCTCACAGCCTCGTCACACCAAACCCCAAGCAGTCAACTGTGCTAAGTAGAACAGTGGGATCCTTGGGAGGAGTGTAGGGACCGAGAAGCAAGGTCAGCCTGTGTCTCAATGAGTTAAAATTCTACAACTGTCCCCTAACTCCTTGGGAATTGGAAATATCTGGAGGGAAGCTTGCCAATTGTGACAAACTGTCAAATATGTTAACTGTGACCCTTCTTGCCCTTAAGTGAATAAAAATCAATTTGAAGGAAAAAAAAAAAAAAGACAGGACATTTTTGTAGGTTTTCTTCACTCAGAAAAAAAAAGGAAAAGGAAAGACTGGAACTTTCTGGCACCTCCCAGGGAAACAAGGCAGTTGTGTCTTCCTTGGCAAGGGATGTGCACAGAGAAATACTCCTGGACTGCAATCATCTGCATTTTGATGCTACAGTCGTCGACTAATGCGAATGCAGTGATGGTGGCTGCGGCATCTGCAAGACACCAGTCAGCTTTCTGGGGGCATTCCCTGGTCTCAGGGGGCCAATTCCAGGCCGCCAGCATGATGGTACTGAATGAGCTGAGAGAAGCTGCAACATCTGGCCCTGCCCTTGCTGGCTCCCACACAAAGTAGGGTCCACCATTCACTTGGCTTTTACCACTCACTAAGCCAGGGGATGTCGTACAGACAGAAAAAAAGGAAACTTGCACAAATGCATTGTTCTTCCTATTGCAAGATTGTTGCTGCTGAATAACTTGGCCTGAAAAGTCTGCTGTTCACTGCAGAGTTACCTCTAGGAAGCACCAGGCCAGAGGTAGACGTGGCTTCCTGGAGACATAAAGGGAGCCAGTCTCTGACATTCAGGGCGGTTGGCAGGGCCTCCCCCAGGGCAGGTGGTGCTGTTCTTGGCACCTGTCTCTGCAGCAGCCTTAGGTGGGCAGGCCAGGTCCTGGCCGAGGTGCAAGGACAGTCTGTGCCCTTAGAAGAGCAGTCACGGTGCTCCTGGGCTGCACGCAGGTTGACGTGCCCTCACACCTATCTAGGTATCATGATGGAAGGAGAAGTGGGGGTATATGTGTCCAGAGCTTGCCACAGAGCAATGCACACGTCACCAGCTCAGTGCCCAGCGTTACCTCAGCATCCACTGGAGGGAGAGCACCCGGGCAGCCTGGCCCTGAGGATGCTGCAACATCTGTCACTCCTGAGAAAGGCTTCCTTTAGAGGGAGAGGGACACACATGTAGCTCAGTCACACCCCTGCTGCCCCAAGACGCAGCTGCCAGTTGGCAGGTCAGGACAGGGCTTTTCTTAGGTTCTGACTCGGTCTCCCGGTGACAACTTCTACCCCGGTGGCCTCTGATGCTGTCGCCTTCTTGGAGAGCCATCCCACTTCATGTCCCTGGTTTTTTCTCTGTTAACATGTAATGCCAAGTCCCACTTGTGTAGAATTTCCAGAACAAAAATACTGCTGGGCCTCCCCAGTGGCACAGGGGTTAAGTCTCAGTGCTATCACAGTGACAGCCTGAGCTCAGTACTATCAAGCCAGCCACTGTGGCCTGAGCCAGGGAGCTAACCCACATGGCACAGCAGACCTCTCCTCTCTCACCCACTGCTCCCGTCAGCAGTGTATTTCAGTTGACCCGCCTGTTCTGTTCCTCACTCTGTCTCTGGTGAATCCTCTCACCTCCCATACCTCTGGCCTGCACCCCAGTTCTTGTATGCATAAATAAATAAAATAAATCTTTTAAAAAATACTGCCATAATGTGACTGGGAGTTGACTGCCTGGTGCTGCAGGGCTGGTACTGTGGGACGGGGGTAGGGGGATGCAGCAGGGCTGGGGCTGTGCAGGGCAGTGCTTCGTCCAGGACGGGGCACCTGCAGAGGCCAGTGACGGTGGTGTGCTGGTGCCCAAGTGGGAGCCTGGATTTCAGTGCCTGCTTTGTCTCACTGAGTGGATGGCCTGAGATCAGCCCCTGAATGCTCACAGCCTCCTTCCCACTATGCAAAGGCTGAGGTGGGAATCCAAGGAGAACATCCCAGTGAAGCCTTCAGGAGGGTCTAAGAACATGATGCACGTTAAATGTCAACTGTTGCCTTGTGAACTGGCTGTGAGGTGACATGACACATGATGTGACAGGCACACAGGGTGGCCACATCTCTGTGGCTGGAATGGACCCTGCAGATGCTGTCTGAGGTGATGCTGTTGTGGTGAGTGTGTTCTGGGATCAGCCAAGCTGGCCGCCTTGTCTGCTCACATAGGCCTGGTGTTTCTGACCCACACAGGGAGACACAGCCAGAGAGCAGTAACAAGTTCTCACCTTCCCATACACCTCTCCCGCTGATGCTTTAATTCTTCTTCACACAAAACTTACAGTCCCATGCTCTCCACATGAGCTAATTTTGCTTATAGAAGGAAAAAATGAACTTCCTGTGTTACCTGCAATGTCCCCACAGCCTGGCCACGGTGTGTCTCCCACTTCTGTCTCGTCACTTCCCACCAGATTTCATCTTCTCGCCACACTTGCTTCACCTGATTCAACATGAGTTTCCATTTGCTCATTCCTTCATCCATTTCACCCAGACATTTTATGCTTGCTCATGATATGCCAGGAGCAGGCTGTTCTAACACATAGCTTTGGCTTTTAAAGAGTTCACAATCTAGTAGAAAGGCTTGTGAAGTGCTCAGCATAAAACCGGTAAGGCAGTAAAATATGCACCAGGGGCCTTGTCTGGTCAGTGCTGTTTGACTTCTTCAAAAGAAGTGGTGGGTTTGTTGGAGGAGACTGTGAAACACTTCATGGGAAAGGTGGGCTTTATCCTGGGCACTCAATGGTCTGGAGACTGAGGACTCAGTAGGCAGATGACAGAAATTGTTCCTAAGTCAAGTCGAACAGAATTAAGCCCAGACTCGTGACTCATGAGCTGAAGGAAGCATATGGGCTTTGAGAGCATGGGGGGTGGGGGGCAGGGCATGGGCAAACTGGTTCTGAAGAGGCTGCAGGCAGGCTGAGGGCTGTGTGGACCAGGGTGTGTTCCACTTCTGCCTTCATGTCTCTGATCCTGGGTGGGACCTTATTATCAGGTCTGGACAATCCAGGCAAAGAGCAGCCCAAAAGATACAAGCCTCTGAGGACAGGTACAGGGACTTGCCTTGCCTAAGAAGGACATAGACATGAGGAGTCCCGCTGGGGTTCACATGGCTGTGAGGTAGCATCTGCACTTGTGGAGGCCGAGCCCGGCAAGCAAAAGGAGCGGCAAGTGGAGATTGTAGGTACAAACAGAAAGTGAGGCCCCTGGAGGCCAAACTTCTGGCCAGGCCTGGAGCCTGAGTTTCTAGCTGCATCCCTTACCAGCAGCCTCTGCCCCTCAGCCCATGAACCAGCTGTTCCACTGGCTAGGTGCACTTGAGCTGGCAGCTGCCCAGCAGTGAAGGCATCGTCACCATAAAACCGTGCATGGGACGTGTGTGACGTGGTGGGGCAACAGGAGGCTGGAGAAAGTTAAGATGCGCGTGTTTTAATGCAGACCAAAGTGCATCACAGGCTCTGGGAAGCAGCCCCAGTGGATGACACGGAAGACAAACCCAAGGAGGCCTGTCAGTTGCCACTTACATCTTCAAGAATGGAGCCCTTTGTCCTTGGGTATCCTGATTGATGAAATACCCCCGGGCTCAGCTCCCCCTCCCCTGTGGGGCATCCTCTTGATGCCCCGGAGACCTGAGCGACCCTATTCTGTTTCCACTGTGCCTCTGACTTGGAGCTCGACTTCAGAGGCCCTCAGGAGGGGGTGCCCACCCAGAGGGTTCCCGATTCTGTCGGGCTCCGGGCATGCCGATGCCGCTGGCCCAGGGGCCTCTCCTAGAGAACCGCTGCTTGAACACACTTCCTGTGGCTGCATTCCAGCTCCCCACTCCCCTGTCAGACGAAAGCTTCCTGAGGGGGTTTCTGACTCACCTTGGAAACTCTCAGTAGCTGACATAACGCTCTACACAAAACCGGGAGCCGAGGTGACTTACTGCGTGATTAACAGTGGAGACAGACATGTACACACGATAAATCCCCCTAGTTACCATCCAAACATATTCCCTCCATGAAGAACTCTGCAGCTGAGAAGGGCAGTAGACACCCGACAGCTGGGGCTGCCTGGTTCCCCCACACCATCTCCCTGATTTCTTTTAATTCCCTGCATAAAAGGGCTGTGATCATTTTCAAATACAAGAAAGCCTGAGGTGTATGATTCTACAGAAGTCACGACTAGGATGGTCCCGTTCCCCAGGAGTTTCTATAATATTTTTCCTCCATTCAGCGGGCACCCGGCAGCTCAGGGGAATACAAAACAAGCTTTTTTTTTATCCCTACAAATGTTTTTTAGAAATGCTGATCAGACAAACTGTATAGCTGTTCTGATGACAAGATGTTCTGTCCTTCTAGGCTTCCTTGCCTTCTAACTATTTAAAAACACCAGATTCAGAATTATTTTTCAAACCATGTCATTAAAACAACACGGAGCCTGTGAGCTCAGGAAGATGCCGGCACTGACTTCTGGGTGTTCAGACCTTGGCTTCCCATTGGCCTCGACCGCCTCTCTCTGAGCTAATGGGGTGGCCTATGGAATAAGACACGCCTGGAATCCCACACTCTGCTGCTAGGACCTATCTCAGGGGTTTCCTCACTGGGCTCCTTGGAACCTGACACTCCCTCCAGGCCCCTCGGTTCAGGGGTGGAGTCCTGAGTGTGGTGGATGCAGGTGTCAAGGGCTGCATTACCTCAGGCATCCCGTGACGTTGTAGAATATGTCAAAATCAAGCAGACCATTGGCTTTGGGGTAGTCTCCTTCCGGCCACCCTGAAAAGGGGATGACGATGTTCTCTGTCAGGGTGAGCAGGGCTTCTGTTATCATTAGGTTCTTCAACTTGTCGTTGGAAGACAAATTCCACAGCAAACCTGGGAAAGCAAAGCTGCTGTCAAAACATAGCCAAGGAGGCTAGAGCCATCAAGGGGCGCCGGGGAGAGCCTCTTCCCAATGAGAAGAGCCTGCCAGAGACGGAAGCTGATCCATCAGAATAGCCAAGAGGGAACTGCCACCAGGCCTAACTGGACAGGGATGCCCGAGAAAGCCAGGAGCACTTACACACTCACCGCTGTTCCTCCTAGAGGATCCACCAAGAAGCTGACCTCATTGGGGTAATGAAACCCACCTCTTCAGCAGGGAGGCTTGAAAGGATCCTATGTACCCAAGCCTTCCATATGTCAGGGAGCAGCGCTATCCCCTCCCCCTCAGACACACGGAGACAGGGCCTCCTGGCTCCCACTCTCTGATGCCGGGTGCCCTGTGCCTGGCCCAGCAGGAAGCACCTGCGGAGGCTTCTGCCCATTGGTCACCAGCGGGCAGGTGGGCTTCACCACCAACCCCAGTCACGGCTACCTTCTTACAGACACCACAGCCTCCCAGAACCAGCGCTTCTCCCGCGGGCATCTTATGGGCAAGTGAGGGGTGGACATTGGGTGAGGATGGTCATGCCCACTCCCCTAAACTCGCTGCCCCTGCAATCCCCACTCAGGAGAAAGGCACGTGGGCCAATGCAGGAAAAGACCGGAGGGCAGGGCCTGGCCTCTCCAGATAGACAAGCTGGGTCTGAGTGGGAATGCGAGCGGCAGATATGTGGGAGGTTTGTTTTTCTCATGGCTTTGGGGCTCAAATCATCCTGATTCAGCGGAAGGCCTGGGAGGACCACATGGGGGCATGGGGCCTGGTGATGCCAGCAAGTCACGCCGACAGACAGGGAGAGCGGACAGACAGGGGGACAGTGGAGAGGAGACTGCTCCTCCTTTGCTCCTCCACTCACCCCACCCTCCACCAATGTCCAGTCAATAACCCACATCTTTGTCACTGTTCTGCAGGGAACAGAGAAGTGGTCCGGGCACCCAGGACAGCCTGCTTGATGGAAACAGCTAATAACACCATCTTGGCTGAAGCAGGAGATGGCATCACCGCTCCTGATTTTAATGACTGAAATAAAAGTCTGCAGGAAAAGCTTGCTAATTGTTCTGCAGTCCTTGCATTTGGCCGTCAATTAGAGCCTGCTAGGCCTGACTCAATCTTTGGGGCTTGACTGGTTTACTTTCGCTGTGTGCAAATAACTCGTTTTGAAACAGTAACTGAATTTCCATGGCAGCCCACACGAACAATGACAGACACCAACATGCAGGCCTGTGGGGACTAGGATTCTGGTTCCGGGAGGCCTTTCCAGATCAAACCAGCATTTGGGGTTGGTTGTGAGCAGGGTACCCCAGCCCCAGGGATTGCAAGACAATCACTTCATATGGTCTTCACAGGCCGGTGGGGGTGCGGACAGACACAAAGAAATGCTGAAGGTGGCTGGAAACAATTTAAAGACCTCCACCTCAGACCTCTGAGGTGGAGGTTTAGTTACCAAACTACAAAAGAAAGTGAAAAAGAAGAGAGAAAAAGAAAAAACAAAAGCTTTCAGTTCTAAATAAGCAAACAAATTAACAGTCTGTGCTGCCAGAGGCTTAAAATGTGAAGCTTAAAGAACATTCCTTCTTTTTGAAAAGGACCACACAGGGCACTCACAGGGAGAGCGCAGGGAACAATGGAAACCAGAGGCTTAATCTGAACAAAAGGGAGTGGAACTTTCCTCCAGCAGTGAACATCCCTTGCAGCTGGCATGCTGCATTCTGTCTACAGAAGCCTATGGTTTGGGGCATTTTAGTCCAACTTTTAATGTAGAATATTGAACAGAAAGCCCTGCCTGCTACATTTCTATGTGGCATGAAGCAGGGGAAGAGCTAACATGTGCACTGGGGATCTGAGGTAGCACATGCTGACCAGCACAGCCTCACAGTCACAAAGTCAGAAAGTGACCACTTCAAGCTGGGAAAATGGGTGTGACGTGAGACAAAGATGAGGACCCTTCATCTAGAGAGCTCATAATAATTAAAAATTGAATCCCTGGGAGAAAAATTAACCCAAAGCCTCTGCCTTCCCACAGGAAGGCAGGTTCTCTGGCAATAAAAGACACGCTAGTTCAGCAGCTGCTTGTTCTTTTTCAACTGCAGAGAGCAAGACCAGAACCAATGGGTGGAATTTCTAGAGAAGGAGATTTTGGCTCGCAGAAAGAATAAACTTCTAGGAGAACTTTTAGGAAAACAGGGCGACCCAACTCTAATCTGGATAAAATTGTATGGGAATATAAAAATAAAATTTATTAATTAAAAAAAAAAAAGAATATCTTCAATAGGATTCCATTTATACACAGATCCAAAAAATATGCCCGATTAAAGCAATTGGTCCAATAAAAAAAAAAAAAAATACTGACCCAGGGTTTATCCTGAAACGAGATCGTTCCATCAGACAAAGTCTCCAAAGGAGCCCAGTGACAAATCAGAGACTCGACTCCTGGGCCACACCCCAGATTTTTTAGTGAGAACCTCAGGATAGGTTCCAGGACCTTGTGGTTGAAAAGCGTCCCTCTGTCTGGCATGAGGAAAAAAAGGGCTGGAGGATGCTTGAGACATGCTCTGGCTGCTCACAGCCCAGGTTCCCCGGTAGGATATGCAGAGCTTTGTTTTCATTGGTCTCATCTTTAACTACTGGCCAATTTACTCACAGCGGCTAAATTTCTATCACTGCAGTTCTTTGTTAAAGCTGGTCTGCTTGTACTTTTCTATCAAATGATGCTCTCTCATGCTAGCCAAAAAAAAAGTGAATAGGCCCTCCCTGCTGGCCTAGGTGTTGTCTCAGTACTGTCACTGCTAAGGTTTGCGTTTGATCCCCAGCCAGGGAGCTAACCACATGGCGCAGCAGACCTCTCCTATCTCACCCGCTGCTCCCCTCAGCAGTGGATTTCAGTGGATCTGCCGGTTCTGCTCCCCACTCTGTCTCTGATGAATCCTCTCACCCCAACCCCCACCTCTGGCCTACATCCCAGTTCTTCTGTGTATAAATAAATAAAAATAAATCTTTAAAAAAAAAGAGAGAGAGAGGTACTGAAAACTGCATGACCCAGAAATGTATTACCAACTGTGATATTTGCAAAAAAACACTGTGAAAGGGGAATCTTCTCGCTATGAAAACCCAGGTTTTATTAACCTCTAGGATGGGAAATACAGTCATTCACCAAGTCAGTGAAACTTAAGTAGCAAGACTTGAAAATTGGGTGATTAAAGGAATCCTTACTTGAGTACAAAAGCAAGAGTGTGAGGTTGAGGAGGAGGTGACAGAGAACTGGCTGTTTTTCACCCTGCTTTTCAATGTGATCACAAAGCAGAAATGATTTATTTTATTACTTCCCTTGCCTAGATATATCCCTTCTCTCACCTAAATTTTACAAATCCTATCTAAAACACCACACTACTACAAAGACTATTTATTCCAAGTTATAGACCCAAGGTATGTGGCTGCACAAATGTAGGATAAAATAATAAGCAATCATTTTTGAAAGGTGCATAATTATTTAAAAGTAAACATTTAATAGCAATCTAATTAAATATTCTTGTAAAATGCACACTCAACATGCACCTCACATAAACCTCATTTCCCACCATCCCAGACTCCCCCAAATGCAGGACAGGATCCCGGCCCTGCTTCATTTGTATCAGGGCCTGTCTGTCTGCCCCCCCTTTGAACCCAAGGCAGAGCCCCCTTCCAGTGGGCATTCACTTCCCAGCGACCACGAAAATGAGCCTCTGAGCCACAGATGATCTGCTCCTGTGGGCACTCGAGCACCACCCTGGTAAGTGGGGGACAGTCTCTGTGGGAAGTTCTTAACCCGGGTCTGGGTCCTTCCACCTGGAGGGGAAGCACTGCCCTCCTGCTGGGATGAAAGCCCCACCCCAGCACTCCCCAGGGATCCCTGGGATGGTAACTCCAGGAGACCGGGAACTGGACTCCCTGAATGGGGGCATCTGGGGAGGGGTGAGGTGGATGTTTAAACAGAGGTGGATGTATAAACAGGGGTGAGGCAGATGTATAAACAGAGGTGAAGAGGGAGGAGGAGACGGGGTGGGGGGCGGGTTGAGAGACAATGTGGAAGAGAGTCAGGCCTGAGACACGAGGAGGCCGCTCCTGATCCTGGGCAGGGACAGGGCAGCGTTATCTTGACCACGTGCTGGATTTACATTTTGGGCTCTCCTTCCATCAAAGCCTCTGGGGCCTGCCTCACCCCTTTCTTGTGTTCCCACCAGAAGGTGCCTTGGACTTGTGCAAGCTCTTGGGTCTCAGCTGCTCCTCTCTGAGATCAGCCTGTTTAGCTGGGGACTTGCCCATGAGAAGATGTGTGATTTTTGAAATTTTAGTGGAATCTATTATTTGAAAGCCTTTCTTTTTTCTCTTTCTTTCTCAACAACAATTCCACTAAAAATCTTTCACACTAAGAGTATGCTATCTTTGCCTTTGAATGTATGAATCTCCAGACCCCCTATTTTAGAGTGTGGACCCCTTAACAGTTAGGGGCCCTTGAGACCCCCTCCATCACGCACCTGCAGTGTGAAAGAAGCAGGAAGCTAACATTAATAGGTGCCCAGGCCATTCCCTAAAGCCATGCTGAGCAGAGAGGGGCTGAGAGGGCATGTGCAAGGGTCACACGAAGATGCTGGTGGAACAGTGACCCCGGAGACAGCGGCCAGGGAGTGGGCTCAGCAGGTGCCAGGTGTGGAACAAGGCTCTAGGCTAACACAACAGCAAGACTAAGGTGTGAGGACTGGAGACAGACTGACCAACTGCAGCTGCTGGCTGGGAGGGGAGTGTCAGCGGGCTCACGTAGTAAATGCCTGTGCGCACCAGTGCGGCCTTTATAGGGATCGGAGCACAGTGCAGCGACGACTTCATTTTAAAAAGCAATCACCAGAAGCAGAGCAGATAGACTGGGAACTCTGAGCCACAGTGTTCCTCAACGACTAAGCACACAGCTCCTCGGGGCAGATGGAGATGGAGGCTCGCCTGATGTGGTGGCCAGAGAGTGAGGGTCAGCAGAGAGTCCCTCCAAGCTGAGTCTCAAAGACAAGCTCCTGCCCCAAGAAGTGTAAAACTGACTCAGCTCTGCCCCAAAGGTATGGGTGGAAGTCGCTTGGCAATACAAGACACCCAGACAGAAGTGGATTTAAACCTGGGCTTTGTTCTTTGCTGGTTGTGCAATATGGGTAATTTGTTTACCTGCCTGCCTCCCCTAGCACCAGGCTGGTTGTAGGTAAACTATCATCAGTGCCTAAGGCAGCTGGCAGCTGGGGGGAGGAAGAGCTGAGAAAGAGAGCCCCAGAGAGCCTTGAGCACCAACAGGGGCTCAGGCAAAGGGGCCCTGAGAAACTAACCATGCAAGAGTCCACTGTGAGTTCCTTGCTTTGTGTCTCTAAACCAAGATGTAAACAGCCTTTTGTGAGTCAACAATTTATTTCTGAGGCCCGGAAGCACTCCCTTTGCTCTTCCATTAACTGAGCTTACAGGAAGTTCCTTAGAAGGATTTGCATCAAGCACTGAAACAGCAACCCCACTCAGTCAACATGGAAGGCAGGGACGTCTGGCCAGCCTGCGTTATCCATAGGTTATCTGAGGGTGACCAATAGTTTCTGTGATATCAGGACCACAGAATGCTCTCTGACTTCAGCTCCATACAGCCCTGGGAGGAGGAAGTGAAGTCCAGTGGGTTACTTCCTTGACACGTGTCCAGCCCTCCCCAGCTCTCCAGCCATCACCTCCGAGCCCCACGCACTCACCAGCCACGCTTCCTCCAAATAACCAGCCGCTGCTTTCAGCTTCTCTGCTATGCTAGTGATATTTACTTTGCCAGGAGTGACTTCATTCTCCTTCAAAACATCAACCCAAAGCCTATATCCCCTTTCAAGCCTACAAGGTAAAGTCTTTTCTGCCTGAACAGGTTAATCCTAATACTATATTTTAATGAAGAAAAGGTAAGGTTTGGCTCTTGAATAACTAATCAATTCATAATCACCTAATGGAATTATTTGCAATAAAGAAATAAAATGTCAACCATCACCTAATTATTCCTGCTTTAGTAGAGAGAAAATAGGACCCACAACCACCCTAGGCTGTGACTCTCACAGCTGGACACTTGAAAGCTGTTCTATAAATGTCGGCTGAATGAAGGGATGAGATCAGCCCTAACTGCTGTGTTCATTCTCCCGGGACATGGAGGGACAGAAACTGTGTCTGGACCTGAGAGGATGTTGGCAGGGGGCACAGCACCACCCTTCATAGCTCCATAAAGTTAAAATGTATCAAGGTAGAAAAACTGTGATATTTTAAGATAAATGGACAGAGAGGCTATAATGACAAAAACATTATAGGAAAGTCTGTATAATAAAGTGAGGACAGCTGAAGTGCAAAACACACACAATTCAATCTAAAACTCTTATGGCTCCTTTTTTTTTTTTTTTTTTTTTATGTTTTATTTATTTATTTATTTATTTGTTTGTTTGTTTATACATGCACTGGGTACAGTCAGAAGCGCAGGAGGGTGAGAGAATTCACCAGAGCCAGAGCAGGGAGCAGAGCAGGCAGAAGGACCGAAGTACACTGCTGAGGGGAGCAGCGGGCGGCAGAAGAGGTCTGCGCGCCATGCGGGACCCTCCTCCGGTGGCCGGGGAGCAGCCGGGGATCGAACCGGCGCGGCAGAGGCCGCGGGCAGCTTCGCAACCCAGCGCTCAACCGCTGAGCCACCAGGGAAGCCCTCTTATGGCTCCTTTTTAATCAAGAAGGAATACTATCAACTATTACCATTGACATGATCATCCCTTATCACTTATAACGCCTTATCATCCCTTATAACGCCTTATCACATGGCGTTAAAGAGGGCTAACTTCTTTTTTTTAAGATTTATTTATTTATTTATATAAGCACTGGGTACAGCCAGAAGTGCGGGAGGGTGAGAGAATTCACCAGAGCCAGAGCGGGGAGCAGAACAGGCAGACTGAAGAAGTACACTGCTGAGGCGAGCAGCGGGTGTGGCAGGAAAGGTCTGCGTACCATGTAGGACCCTTGCCGGCGGCCGGTGATTGAACCAGAGCTGCAGAGGCTGCGGGCAGCTTCGCAGCTCAGGGCTCAAAAGCTGCGTCAATGGGGAGGCCCAAGAGGGCTAACTTCTTTGTACCTCCTGAGAAACTCAGACTGAATATCTAATACCTAAAAAACCCCTCAAACCCAAGGCTTTTATGAAAATTAAAATTGTCCATAAGTATATAAATACACTTATATACATTTTAAATTTATGTTTTTATAAAATTTACATTTTAAATTTACATGTATAAATGTATACATAATATATAACTTATTTATTTTTTAGCATAGAAGAATCCAGAGGTGTGGGTGGTGAGAGGATTCCCCAGAGACACATTGGGGAGTGAAACAGGTGGATCTACTGAAATCCACTGCTGAGGGGAGCAGCAGGAGAGACAGGAGAGGTCTGCTGTGCCCTATGTGGGTCAGCTCCCTGGCTGGGGATCAAACTCAGGCCTTTGCAGTGACAATGCTGATACTTAACCTCTAGGCCATCAGGGAGGCCCTGGTGCAGGGAGTTTTTAATAAATCACAGTGAGCAATTTGAACTTGGTCTGAGCTGCAATGGAGGCCAGCAGGGGCTGGGCTCCTGGAGTGACAGCTCCCCCTTCACTCCTTGACCACCTTCCAGGACACTGAGGGGAAATCCAGAGGGCAGGGGGCCAGACCCGCCCTGGCTGCTCCTTTTGTGGGCCCTACCTGTGATCTGCTTCTTGGTCTCCAGGTCTCTGGTCTGCCTCAGCACCTGCAGCAGCCGCGGGACCCCGTTGAGCTCGGCCACCTCCACCTTGTTGTCGTTATCCTCAAACACCAAGTTCCTCAGGGCCCCGCATGCCGCCCTCTGAACATCTTCACTCTGGACTTTGAGAAGCTGCAGGAGCTTGGGGATACCGTGAAGCTGGTTAACCTGGGAAGGAGCACAAAGGAGGACTCTGACGCACACATTCCTGATGGGGCCTCATCTGGCTTGGCAGAGGAGACATCCAGCATAATGGGGGACAGAGAAGTCTGCTGAGGTGGGTGCCGTGAATCAAGAACTGTGGGTGCAAACTGAGCCCTGGGTGTGCAGTGCACCCCCAGTGTGCGGCATCTCTCACAGTGGCACCCACAACAAACCTGGGCTGTTAAGGCTGAAACCTATGAAAGAAGTGAAGGCTCAGTGGTGAACAGCAGGTAAGTGACAGGAGGACAGAAAGGGTCAAGTAAGAAAAGTCTTGAGCATAATAAATTAAGAAGCAGAGAACCAGGGATTTGGGGAATGATGGAGGTTTTAGGAAAGAATATGCCATCCAAGAGTAAAACTCTACTGTCAGAAGTCATCTCCACCGCTAGTAGAAATAAAAATTCATTCACCAGGGCAACTAGTAGCAGCCACGCAAACTAACCCTACATGTGAGCTATTTTTGTGATTAGTGGCTTTGAGTATTTAGAAAGATTTCTATAAATTACACCAGTACTTTAAGTAAACAATACACATTTAAACAAGCCATTTAAAAAGTATCTCTTCTACCCAAATAGACAAGAAAGAGCAGGCTGTTAGATAAAGAAGCAGAAGGCCAGAATCACGAGTAGGACATGGAAATAGGTGGCAGATTCCAATGTTGCCTTTTAGGGTGTCAGCATGGTCTATGGTAATCCAGGGGTGGACGCAGCTGCTGGAGAGGAGGCTAAGTGGCGGCAGAGGCTTTCCTTGTCACAGGCTCCAGCTAGCACCTGTCTGTGAATATTTCAGCTGGTAAGAGCCTCCCATAAAGTTCTCAGCCATTTTCAACATTTCAATGTGGAGATTTGGGGGAATAAGCTGTCACAAAGCCAAGATTTCAAGATAATCTACATAATAACCATGAAGATAACCTCAGCTATAGCAAAGTGACAGCTCTCCCCCACGTCTCTGTCTGGGGGTGCAGGAGGTGCTGAGTTCTATGTAGTCACCAGATGGACAGATGGACGGCATGTGGGCTGAGGGGGGAAGGAGCCTGCAGAGACTGCCGCACAGAAGGCCACTCACCCTCTTGCGCGCCTCAGCCTTCTGGAAGCACTCGTGCTGGATGAAGGTGGCGGCTGCGCAGATCCTGGCGGGCGGCGTGTGGTCTGTGTCCAACATGCCCACAGCTCGCTCCAGGGTCATCTCCATGTCCGTGATCCTGCAAACACAGGCCCGGCTTCAGCAAATGTGCACGGCGGCCCCTCCCGCCATCCATGGGGAGCTCCTGAAGGCCTGACCCCAGTCCTGCTCCTGCCAAGGGCCTGTCAGTGGCCAGATCAAAGGCACCATAAGCTTCAGCTTCTCCAGAGGGATTTACCTCTGGGCTCGGAGGGGTCATGGCCGGCGTCTCCCAGAGGGAGAAACAGGGCTCTGTTTAGAATAAACACGCATGCAGGGAGAATTACACCGGAAAAATCACTTTAAAGCCCCAGTAAGACTTCAGATGACAATTGTTAAAAATCTGGTCACAGAACTTAAAAAGCACTCTAGCCCTGGAATGTCACACCAGGAGAGAAAATACCCCACCAGACTTTTCTCCCAGCTGCTCAGCACCTGTTATTTACCTGAATGTGAGGTTTTTTTTTTTTTAAGGATTCTAAAAGTGTTCTTAATTAATGACTACATCAGCGTATAGTGCATAGACAGCAAGAGCCAGCGGGATGGAGTTTGTAGTGTCACTAGGTGTGCAGGTGAGACAAGGCCCACGGGAAGGCCATGGCTAGACTCAAGCACAAACGGGCTCCTCCTTAAAATGTACCATTTTATGTCCAACCTGTGGCCCTATCCTTGGCAGAAGCAGGTTGTCTCCTGTGAACTCATATCCCCCTCTCACTCCCTGCAGGCGCCTACTGTTAAGACAAAGCCCCAGGCACTGGACACAGAGGAGGGCTACAGAGCAGGAGAAAAGTGTTCCTTGTGAGCTCAAATTCCCCCAAAGAAGCCTCTGTTTTCCACTCTGTGTCCTCTGGCACTCTTGTGCACAAAAAGCATGGCCTGCCCCGCTGGCTCCCTGCTGCTGGACCCTCCCCCTCAGGAAGCCACAGGGGCTGGACTGCCAGCCCGGAGGTGTTCCAGCTGGGCCTTGGGCCCAGCAGGACCAGCCTCACACACCTGGGCTGAAGGCCTCAGCATCACTGACAGCTGAATCACTCAGGTAGTGGGGGTGCCCAGAGGGCACCTGTGAGGGCGTATTCATACTTGGGGGGGCCCAGGCTAGGGGAGGAAGGCCATGGCCTTGCGACTGAGAGCTAATGCCCCCTGCTTCGGAGATGCGTTCCAACACAGAAGCCACCACATAAGAAACCTAGCACGACGGCCTGGCAGCCACAGTGAGGCTCCAACCATGACCTCATGTTTTCAAACGTTACGCCTGGGGAGTCAATTTAATTGGGGAAAAGGGGAGGCTGTTACCATTAAAACCAGAATTTGAGTAATTTTTTTTTATTCAATACAAACACACCTTTTCAAAGAGATAGAAATACATTCCATGCCTTTACAGAGAAATCCAGAGGCTAAAATCTCAACCTCAGCGACAATATAACTATCCACCCTCTCCATCCAACAGGAGATCAGCCCTAACATAAGAATGGCTTCTGTTTAATGCAGCTTAAAAAAAAAAAGATGTAGTCATTAATCCACTTTATAAGTCATAAATGACTCAGGACAGTTTGAGTTTTCCAGATTTAATAACACCCCCAAATTATTCCATTCCTCTAGCTCTTTCTTTACCTGAAAGTGATTCACAATTAGCTCCGTCGTCGTCAGCCCCACCCGCCCCATGCCCCTTCACACTGTTGCTGCAACTACTCCCAGCTGAACTAAGATTCCCTGGCAAGAAGCTCACGTGGCAAGAAGCCCACGCCCAGTCCCCTTGGGGTTCCAGCAGGGTGCTAGGCCTGGTCACCCGGCCCCTCTCCCCCAACCCTCCCTCCCCATCTTCCAGTGACACTGCCTGAAGTCCTTCTTAAGCATTGCTGGCCTTTCACAATCACCCTCTCTGACCTTTCTGGAAAGCCCATCTCCCTGTCCAATTCCTATGCATTCTTTAAGACTCAACTCGAATATCCTCATTCAGTGAAATGCCCCTGCCCCGGCCTGCTCTGAGTTGTTCTTTCCCCTCCTGCTCTTCCTCTCTCCCCACTCCCCCCTAAAGCACTCCTGGAAGGCTGAGTTGGGAGAAAGGGTGGGGGGAGGAAGAATAGGTGTCCCTGGGTCCCCTCACCCCCCGGATGTATCCTCTAGAAGTGAGTCTCCTCACCAGCCTTACTTAGAGCTTGAACATGACAAAGTGGACATGGAGAGTGTAAGAGGAAGCCGGGCACGGTATCACTGGTCAGATTAGGGGCTATTATGGGAGAAAAGCTGAAATGGTGCTTTTAAATGTGCTTGAGCCCTCAGCCAACTGCACTCTTGTCCATTAAAAGCATAGCCTGCCCCAAGGACTCCCTGCTGCTGGACGCTCCCCTATGGGAGGCCAGGACGCAAGCCTGGCCCAAGGTGGAGGAAGCATGGGTTTGGAGAGATGACCCTGGGCGGGCACAGGTTTCTAAAGATAGTTTTGAGAGCATGACCAAGTCGCAGAGGAGGCCATAAAGCTTCCTCCTGGGCTGTTCAAAGGGAAGCGGAAGGAGGGTGATGGGGAAAATCAAACAACAGCGCAGTGATGAGGGGTGGGGTGGGGGGGTGATGCGGGTGACTTGTCCTTTCTGCTGTGTCACACGCTGGACTGGGATCACCAGGGTGCGGGCCATCTGTGGTATCTCCCCATTCTCCTCGTCCAGACAGCCGCCCGCCCTGACCCCTTATCTGTCCTCTCCTGCCCAAGACTCTCCCGTACTGCCAGGCAGGCTGGAGGGACCTAGTATTCTGAACACCCCTCCCTCAAAGGTATAAAATCATATTCTCAGAAGAAGTGGCCTAGATATTTTTATTTGGTCATTTTTTTAAACCTTTTACATTGGTCTGATTTGAAGCAGACGTTGACTCCCTTTCACACCATGCTCTAGGGTTTCAGTGGAACTAGTAACTGTGGTCATTCTTCTCGGGAAAGAAAGATCTGCTGTGACACCGTGTGACATCATGCAGGTTTAGAGTTTTATCTATTTTATAGGAATGGTCCCTATACATAAAAGAGCTCTTCTTGACATGTGGGAATTTCACTGGACATAAAAATGTTGCTTCCAAAAACAGGTGCTGGGTAGAGGCTGAAATGCATGTTGGTACAGAGCAAAGCCTGGGGACACCCAGGGAGGGGAGCCAGGCCCAGATGTCCCCTTGTCCAGCCACGTTCCCACAGAGGGTGAGATTTTCTAGAAGAATCAGTCCCATGATTTCTAGTCTCCCTGGTAGCAATTTTGGAAATCATCATGAACAGATTCCTTGCTCTCTAAATTTCTATGACCCCAAGAGTATCTTCTATTCTCTGAAATGACTAATTAATTTACCCTGCCCACTAAACCGTAAATAGTATGGTTTAATTCTTCTTCCAGAATTTGTGCCACAGAAAAACCTAGATGGGGCCTCCCCTGGTGGCGCAGCGGTTGAGCACTGGGCTGCCAAGCTGCCCACAGCTTCTGCAGTGCCAGCTAGTTCCCTGGTCGCCCGTGAGGGTCCCACATGGCGCGCAGACCTCTCCTGCCGCGCCCGCTGCTCCCCTCAGCAGTGTATTTCGTCAGTCTGCCTGTTCTGTTCCCTGCTCTGGCTCTGGTGAATTCTCTCACCCTCCCGTGCTTCTGACTGTACCCAGTGCTTTTATAAATAAATAAATAAATCTTAAAAAAAAAAGAAAAAGAAAAAGAAAGAAGAACCTAGATTGCGAAAAGTAAAGCATTTCCTCCTCCTTTCGTTCTTTCACTCTGCCACTATATGTTTATATTGTGCATTCACGGACCTGTGCTGTTTTAGGGTGCTCAAAATATAAAGATAAGACACAGTTCAAAGTCTAGAGGGAGTGCTGATAAGTAAGTGAGTAATCACTAGGTACCATCTGATAACCACACAGCCACACAGCCGGCTTGGCTATCTGGGGCACCCAAATGAGATTGTGGGGGAGTGGTCAGGCAAATGGTGTCCCAGCCAACACCAGAATGGGGGGGAGCCAGAGCTCAGGCGGCAAGAGATCGCCGGGGGTTGGGTCGTAGGCAGGTAGGCAGGCAGCTAGTTACTAGACAGACAGCTGAGATGGGTTGGATGGGTGAAGAGGAAGGAGGAATACAAGAAGGTACGGGTGGTCCCCAGTGGCTTGAGAGTTGTGTGGAGGTGGGTTTGGGATGATGGTGAAACAGTGGAGCAGAATACAAAGAGCCGAAACTGGAGAGATAGGCAGAGGGTCTGTGAACTATCCTAAAAGCATGAAGACTTGGAATCACAGCAAGGTCAACAAGCAGAGACAAATCATCCCATTCGGGAAGACGCTTCCCATGTTCCCAGAGAACAGCTCTGAGCAAGCAAGACCGGCGGCAGAGAGACCTAAGCCAGGAAAAGGGCAAAAATGTAAAACCTGTGAAGGAGATAAAAGTCTGGCTGGTGGATATGTGAGCATGGAGGGAGAAGTAAGTGGGCCCTCTCGGTGTATAAGAGGAGGTGGTGAGGGCAAGAGGGTGGGGAGGGGCTGACAAATTTCCTTTTGGACAGAGAGAGGCGGGGATGCCTAGGAGGCAGAAAAGGAGCACTCAGGAGGATGAGAAGCAGCAGCAGGAGGACACGTGGAAACCAGGGGAGACTGGTACCCTGAACACCAAGCTTGGACAGGATTTCACAGACAGTGGGGCCAAATGCATCCCCTCCTCCCATTGAGTCATGGTGTGTCTGCTGTGGGTGTGTGGCAGGAGGCACAGCTGGGGTGTGTGTGGGGACCTGCAGTGAAATGGTAGGGGGTGAGGCCATGTAGCAAGGGGGTGAGGATGGAGGAGCGCAGGTGGTTTATGAAGCACAGGCACATAGGTGGGGAGGACAGAAAGGGCTGCTGGAGGGTGTGGTGTGCTTTGTTTTTGTTAAAAAATGTGCCCGGCACAAATCCTCAAGTGCAGCAGCTATTCAGCAAATTTTGAAGGATCCATTTAGAAGCCTTGATCAATCAGCTTCCCCCCATAAATAATTACCTCCTACATTTGTTCTTCTTTATGTGTGTCCTTACCGACAAAGACCTCCTTTCAACAAGAAATGTTACCTGTTTCATGCCAGCGCTTGCTTTACAAAAAATATGTCCAGCTCCAAGATGAGATGACCCAAGCACCTTGCAGCATCAGTGCCCGCGTGGCAAGGGGCAACCCCACACACCTCCCTGAAAGGGACGTCAGAACCACCAGCTTCCACCAAACGACTTATCGAGATCAAATGAGGCACCAAAGTGGCACTATATAGAAGCTACTGGTTTAATCAATTGCTACTGTAGTGACTTCTTCACTTCACAAAATGTTGGCGCCAGCAGTAACCTTGATTAGGGGTGAAGTTCCAAGGACTGAATTAATCAGACCAGGAAGTAATGGGAGACAGGAAGGCCTGACCTGGAAAATTCAATTATCTTATTCAGTGTTGCCAAAAAATACCCTCCCTCCTGCTAACATAGGAATCAAAAGAGAAAATCTCAGGTCTCAGAGAAAGGAAGGACACCCAGAAACCTGCCGCCTTTGTTCAGCTCTGCCTTGTCAGTCAGTAGTTATCCAAACAGCATCTGCTGCGCCTCTGAGCCCCAGGACCAATCTTTTGCCATTTTCCCTCCTTGACTGCAAGGAACGACTAGGAACACACCTGCGAGTCTCCACCACGCAGGTACCTTTGCAGGAAGTTGTCATTCCAGCCCACATGCAGGCGGCCAGGGCAGCCTTATGGCCCGAGCTGCCACTCGCAGGTGTCCGGGCCCCTGTCCCTGGGCCCCGGGGCTGCCCTGCCCGTCACGCTGCCCGAGAAGCGGTCGCTTTAGACTCACCCGAGCGGGGTGTCAGGGAGCGCGGGCCGGTCCACCGGCGCGGAGCCCGCTCCCACGGCGGCCACTTGTCCGGCTGTCATGTGCGCGCGGCGGCTCGGGTCCACCCCCACGCTGGGGCCGACCTCCCGCGCGCAGCCTGCGCTGTGGAAGGAGCTCTGGCGCCAGGACGCGCGGAAGGCGCGGTGTTGGAGGGTGTGCTGCGGCCGCGGGCGGCCGGCCCCATAGTTCTCCTTCTCCAGGAGGTCGCCCAGGCTGTGGCTGGTCCCGGGCCGCGGGCCTTCGAAGGCCCAGTCGGCGGCGGAGCCCAGGCGCCGCTGCACGTGGTAGGTGCCGCGGGTGCGGGTGGCGGTCCCGGAGAAGCCCAGCCCCGCCGCCTCCGAGCGCGCATAGCGTGGGGGCATCAGCAGGGTCCGCTGGGCGTCCAGGGTGCGCAGGCCGGGCCCGCGCGGGGCGCAGCGGGACTCGCACAGGCTGTGCGCATAGCGCGCGCGCTCCGGGCTGCTGTCGGGCGAGACCTCCAGCCTGCGCAGTGGCTGCCGCCAGCCGCGCTCCTCCACGGAGCGCTGCGAGCTGTGCCAGCCTGGCGCGCGCCCCCAGCGGCTGTCGTACGTGGCAGTGGCGCCCGCCTGCGGAGAGAGACACGGGCAGCCGTCAGCGCGCCCGCCCTGCCCCGGGAGACGTGGCCATTCCGGGTAAAATTTGTCCCTCCACCCCCAGATTTTTTTTTACTGTTTTGCCAAATCTGTTTTTAAACAAGACTTGGTCAACAGTGATTGGCACTGGGATTGGGTCTTGCGTGAGGGCCCGTGTTCCAGGTGTCCACGCCTCCAGAATTCACAGCAGGGCTTAGGAAGGGGAAGCACCCAAATGCAGTGGCTGCGGGGCCGCAACTGTTTCCCGCGAGAGGGTGACTCCGTGACCCTCTTTGGTAGCCTACCTTTAGCATGTCATAGGTTAGGGTGGCCGGGGTTCGCCCTCCAGTAAAATTGTTTTCAAGCAAATGTAGATTGTAGACATATTCGGGCACACTGCTGGTTCGGTGGAGATTCCCTGAAATCAAGCACACATGGAAATAAAGTAAGTGGGCCGAACAGCAACGGTTCGTTGTAAAAATAAGAAGGCCAATAATAAATAGTAGCTTTATGTCAACTACTACAGTATTTATTTATTTTGTAAAGATTCATTTATTTATGCATACAAGAGCTGGGGTACAGGCTAGAGGTGTGGGGGGCGAGAGGATTCCCCAGAGACAGAGTGGGGAACAGAATAGGCAGACTGACTGAAATACACTGCTGAGGGGAGCAGGGGGTGAGACAGAAGAGGTTTGCCTGGCCATGAGGGTTTCTCCCTGGGTGGGGGGGTGGGGATTGAATTCACATTGCAGAGGCTGCAGATTGCTTCATAGTGCGATGCTTAACCCCTTGCGCCACCAGGGAGGCCCAGCTACTACAGCATTTAAATGTTGGTTTCGTATCACTCTTGGCTTTGGCAAATGATTGTTACTGCAACATTCTCCACAAGCTTTTCAAAATACAAGTAGAATTTAAAAATCTTTTTAAGTTTTTTTTTTTCTTTTTGAGTAAAGGGAAGAGGAGGTTTTTACAAAAATCCAAAAACTACTGGTTTGTTATGATGCTGAAGAATTTGGGGATGATTTGGAGAGTGAGCGGGTCCTAACTCCCTCTGCCCTGAGTCCTGCAGGACAAGGAGCCGAGAATGCCATAGCTGCAGGCAATAAAGACAATGGTGACTCAGCACTGCCAGATAAGAGCCCTAAGACAAACCCAGGGTGTGGTCAAAGAAAACCAGGATCGGCTGGAGAAAGACCAAGCCTGGAGTGAAAGGCAGGGTGGAGGGGACAGACTAGGGACTGGGGCAGGAGAGCTGGGTGGGGCGCCCCGCTGACTTCAGCTTTGGGGTCAGGTAGCTAGTGCACCCTCCTGCACACAGAGCAGCCAGAGGAAGAGCCAGCTCAGCCCAGACCTCAAGGTCTACCAAAATCCTCTTCTTGGAGGCGGGGATGACCTAGGAGATGGTGCCAGCACCCCCCCCCCTCACCTCTTTTATCCTCCTCCCAGCTTTTTACGTGTTCTTTTTTTGTGATCTGCTGCTTTACAAAAAAAAAAGGCTAATAAAAATAATCAAAGATGGGGCCTCCCTTGTGGCCTAGGGGTTGAGTCTCAGGGCTGTCACTGCTATAGCCTGAGTTCAATCTCTGATCCCCACCCAGGGGATCCCCTGGCCCTCACATGGGGTGCAGCAGACCTCTCCTGTCTCTCCCGCTGCTCTCCTCAGCAGTTAATTTCAGCCTATTTACCTGTTCTGCTCCCCACTCTGTCTCTGGTGAAACCTCTCCCCCACCCCCCGCACCTCTGGCCTACACCACAGTTCTTCTACGCAAAATTAAAAACAACATACAAAAAATAAATAAAATAATCAAACGTTGCTAAAACCTAGGTAATTTCTAGTGCCTTGATTTTAACCAAAATTTCTGTCACAGAGCATTCTTTAAGAAATCTGAGAGGAAAGCAGTCAGCTAGCCCCCCGGGCGGCAGAGACTTGAGAGGGATGTTAGTGAATCTGCACGTTGAGAACACACCAGCTGATTTCCCAGCAAATTGTCATGAAGACACAACTTCATGACTCACAGTGGATTCTCAGGCTGTTCTGAGGGGAGGGAGTCAGAGACCTTTGCTGCCAGAATTCTCAAAAGCATGAGTCCACCCAAATTACGTGTAGACCTGTGTCCTTACTTCCTGGCGCCAAATCATCTGGCTGGTAAACAAGGTCAGGCCTCCAGGGGTCCTGGGAGGCCACCACAGATGGTGTCAGCCCCCAGACCAGGGGCTTGAGAGAAGCCAGGCTCAGCTGCCGCCACAGGACTGGCCAAAGATCAGGCTGCTCCTTCAATTTTAACCTCCATGTCAGGATGCCTGGCCCCTGCACAAAGAATGAGGGAACAGAATCTCCTTCAGGATCCCAGGACCACACCGAGGGGCTGTCAGGACTCAATCCCCCAGGCTCCAACCCAGGCTGTTAGCTTCTCAACTCTGTTCCCCCCACATCCCTCACCCTTTGCCCCTCAATTCAGGGTGGGTGTTGCTGCCAGCCGGCAGGCCCAGAAACATTCTGGTTCTGATCCTGGAGTCTGGGGGCCAGGGAGCCCTCAGCACAGGCATTGGGGGGGACGGTCAGGGCCTGGCTTAGTCTATGCCCTGTCCCGGAAGACCTGGAGCCTCGTCCATGGGAGCTGTGGCCAGGCAGAGAACTGATGGTCAGCTGATATGTAAGAATCCAAATGTATTGGCTTTTGAAAAACTACTTTAGGGGTATCCATGTTTAAAATTTTGGATTGTGAAAAAAAAAAAAAAGAATAAGAGAAAATCAGGGGCAATCTGGCATGGGAAAGTGTCCATGGGCATATGTGGATGGTGGTAGGGAACAGGCACCCCTGTCACTCCATAATAAAATGGCACCTGGTGGGAGGGTGTTTCTGGAAGAATTCAAGACAAGTTTCTGCAGTGGGTCCCTTGAGCTCAAGGTCACCTGCAGGAGCAGCCAGATATCCAGGAGCTGCTAAATGGGGGCTGCTGCATTGTGAGGCCAAGATGCCTGCTAGTGTGGGAGTATGTGCAGATCTCTGGGCAGCATGCAGAGAGTCCAGGTGTCCCAGCAGAGGGAAACCCCTGGGTTTTATAGTCAGGCCTGATGGAGCAAAAGGTTTACATCCCACTATTGCTGGAGGTTGTGAGGTTTTTGAAAGGAACTTACATGAAAACACCTTACATTTCACTGTCACTTTTCTTTAAGGAGCTTAAATTGGTTTATATATGTCTTTTCAACATTCTGTGACACAGAGCCAGATGCAGTCATCTCCCTGTACAAAACTGAAATGACTTGCTCTCGATTGCAACCAGAGTTAACATCATGTTTGAACTAAGTTCCTCCTTTGTGCCAGTCTGCGCTCATGTTGCTCCGCAGCCTCTCTGAAAGTGCCATTTCAGAAGTCTGGGAGGGATTATGACCATGGATTTTGATGTGAGGACCAAAAGCAGCCATTCCTTTTACCTGGGCCACTCCTGACATTCTGTAAATTTTCTTTTTTTCCTTACACTGTCCCTAGAAGGACGCCTCTCCTTCCCTTTCACATGAATGGACTGGTTTAGCAGTTTAGCAGTTTCCCAAATAACTACAAGGTCAATGGGAATGGGGAGTAAAATAAGACCGGATTTTGAAACCAGGACTCTTTCTGTGCAAGAGAAGGGGTGCCTCCGACTGTGGCCTCCGGGACACCCAACCGATGCTTCTCCAGTTAACAAGTCAGGCAGGTTAACTCCTGGGTGTTCATGAGTTTGGGACCAGCACAGTGGCTGAAAGACGAATCAGCAGCTGTGTTCTAAAATTTTAAGGAAATTTTGGACTGGGGAGGGGGGATTTTTTTTTTTAAAGGCATATTTAATCAGAACGGAATCTACTCTCTTGAAGGCAAGTCATACTTTTCTGTTCAATCAGATTTTCTGTTCAATAATAAGACGACTGAACAAGTAAAACAACTCAGCCCTGCTGTTGCCAAAGACAGAAACAAGAGAGCAAACAAAAACAGATCCTGCGTACAGGCACATACAACTGCTTCAAATAAACAGACCACAAAAGTCCAGATTTTCTAACATGGGAAATCAGGATGTGATTATACATCAAAGGACTGGTTTACTTCGTAAGAGGCGTTGGAATCTTCCCAACGTTGGGGAAACGTGTGCACGTGGTCTGCACTTGAGATTTTCTATGTGTGAGGACAAATTTGGATGCCTCCCTTTCCCTAATCCCAGCTCCTGGCAGTGAGAGAGAGAGACAGAGAGAGAGAGAGAGAGAGAGAGACAGAGAGAGACAGAGACAGAGACAGAGAGAGACAGAGAAAGAGAGAGAGACACACAGAGAGAGACAGAGAGAGGGAGAGAGGAAGAGAGAGGCATTAGGGGCTTTTAGGATCTAGAAGCAACATGCAGAAATGAGACACAATTTTTAAAACAGCATTTGGGTCTCACAAAAATCTTTGTTTTTCATGAGTTAATGGTTTGAGAAAGGGGTAGGCAGGTGTGCCTGCTTTAATTTGCACAGTGCTATGTGTCAGAGTGTTTATTCTGGTCATTTCACCCAGTCGCATTGGATTGATTTCCTGGGTGGCTGTGATGAGTCCAGCAGCTGTGGATGCGGCTTCTGGCCGGGGATCTCCCTTGCATGAGGCATAACGTGCTTTTGCCGTTTACTCAAGAAGATGATGACTGATGGGCACTATTTTGAATGAATATTGGCTCAGGCCAGGAAGCATTCTCCAAACCTTTTCTTCCCAAAACACCGTGGACATTTTATGGAACCCACAGGAAAAAAAAGTGAAGTAGTTACAGAGAACCTTAAACTCCCTCCCCCTCAAATAACAAACAACCCAGGCCAAAGCAAGGGGGGCAGGAGAGGTGATGCTGGGGCTGGGGGGGGAGGGGCGCCTCTTCTGGTGGAAAGACTCCAAGAGCCTGGAGATTGAAGAGTGGTGACACTCCACACCCCCGCCCCCCATCCCGTCGTCCTGGTCTGAATGTTAGTTTGCAAGCTGTGTCCCTGAGCAGCATTAGGGGAAATACCTCAGAGTCTGGTCAAATACAAAAGTATTGCCCCAAGAACGGATCCTTGTTTGGACTTAAAGAAGCACGTTGCTTCTGAATATGGGTTTTTCCCTTTGTGAGTTGTGTGAGCAGACGTATCGCCTAACTAGGGAGTGTGGAGCGTTCATGAAATGTAATGGTCAAATCTCTGGGGTGACTCCAGTGGATTTTAGAGCACTAAGACCTGCTAACCAGTGAAATAAAACCACTGTATCGCCTGCTTCTAAAAAGACCGTCACACTCCAGTTCAGAAAAGCGCCTTTCCCTTCAAGCCCAGCCCTCTCTGGGCATGGACCAGTTCCCACCAAGCTCTAAGGAAAAAGGGTAGAAATGGAGGAATCTGTCCCCTCCCTGTCACAACAGACATGGCCATCTGGGGGTCATGAGTCACTCCCC